CGGCGCGGCGCGCCAGGGGCCAGCCATTCCTGCCGCCTGAGCGGACTGTCACTGTCACTGTCACTGTCGGGAGGTGAGCCCTGGCCCGACCAGTTATTCCTACGTGTCTGTCGGGCCAGCAGGCGGCCTGGTGGTGGAGGCGCGGGACTCCCGCGTGGCCACCTGCGGCCTGAGTCCCGGACCTGGCAGCTTGCTTTCTCACTTCCCTGCTCTCGTTCTCACTCTGGTCAAATTATTTTTACAAAGTGAGGTATACATAGTAATAATAAATTAATTTAAAGTGATACAATAAATAGCTAATTCTCAAGAAAAACCTGTCCCGGAAGGGAAGGCAGCCCGTGGCCTCCAGCAAGGGCGCTGCTGTCTGAACCCCTCCGAGCGGGTCGCGAGTACATTGTAACTACCGGAAACGCGTGCAGGAGGGCCGAGCCTCGCAGGGTTCTCCAGCACGGTTAATCACCTCTGCTTCTCCGGAAGGAACCCACAGCCCCCAGCCCGAGGACAGACACCTGGGAGGGGCTTCGTAACCCACACAGCCAGCCACCGCCCCACCCGCCCCGGCGTGGCCGCGTGGACACCTGCGCCTTCCCGCTGGCTTCGTGCGTCTCCTGCAGCTGTCCCCGGGTCTCTGCTCGGCCCTTACAGACAGCATTCACTGGGATCATTTCACCAAGCCACGGCACCAATTTCTGCCTTTCCGTCTGAGTTAAACTCAATTAGCACTTAGTCCACTTACACTTCAATGTGCTAAAGACTCATTTCTGCCATTTTCTGTATTTCCAATGCCTTTCTTCCGCTTCAGTTTCACCATACCTACGTGTGCTACTGTTCTGTTCACATTGACTAGTGTCTCGTTTCCACTCTCCTCATTCCATTCTCTGTATGCTTTTTAGCGATTTTTCTAAGTTGCTGCCTTGGAGACTTTCACATCTTAAAAACATTGTTTAAATGTGGGTATGAAGGCTCCCTGGAGAGAGACAGAGAGGGAAAGTAAAAACTCGCTCCCTGGGGGAGGCCAGGCCACCGTTCCTTCTCCATCCTCCTCTCCAGGTTTTGACCACGAACATTCCTGGTGAGATTGCTCACACCTTCAGACCCAGACCTTGAACTGTGGTTGCCCACGTGGGAGCCCAGCACCTGCGCCGCCGGGCCACGACTGGCTCCCCGTTTCCCCTACTTATTGAGCCCTTCCCCTGATCCCACTTTCTCCTCTTCCCTAGCATGTACTTACAATATTTTTATAACCATTTCTAGTGGTTTTACATTTACAACAAACATAACAGCAAAACAAAATGATATTTACGCCTTTTTTGGCCCTACTTTATTTTTCTTTCTTATGCTTCCAGGGTTAACTGGTGGTTGTAGCTTTTCTAACTGCCGTGATCTGTAACTACTGAAGCAAATAAACCTGTGCGCTTACAAGAGGAAACTTTAGTCCCTTCTTTTAGACAATGGTTACAAAAATCTCCACCAGGAGGGGCCAGGCAATATATGTTCAAGAGACGGGAACGTTCCCTCAGGACCCACGTCACAAGTCACGTTGGGAAGGCTGTAATGACATGCTCTTTCACCACGTACTGAGTTACTCCCAGGTGTTACAGCTGTCTTGTTCCACCACACAGCCCCCCAGAATGTGGTGGCTTCCCTGAATCAACCACTGTATGTTACAAGTCAACAGATTTAATGTCGCCACAAGAACAAACACAGGTGGGGCCAGATGCCATGACAGTTTTGTCACTGGACTTCCAATAGATGACGTGCTTCAGGTCCTGGACCCGGGGGCTTAACACTCACACCAGGTGCATGCCCAAAATCCCAGGAGAATGGAGGAGGCAGGATTGTGGTGTGACCAACCCTGGGGGGTGATTTCTCACTTTCTGTCTCTCTGGCTAGAGCACAAGCCCTATAGAAAAAAATCTCTAGGGGGGGGGAAAAAAAAAAAGACCAGAAACAGGGTCATAAGCATCGCATTAAAGGAAAAGGTGCACAGGACAATTCGGGGACAGCCGTGAGGGGAGAGTAACACCAAACTTGCTAAACGTCCATTACAGACCACAAGGACACACGACAGGTGTGTACCGTGCTGGAAATTTCCGTCCCGGGAGCTGCTGGTGCGAGGTTAGCTCCCGGCCACTCCCTGTGCCCGACCGCAGCTAGGTTGACGCCTTCCTCCCTCTCTGCTCTCTCTCGATCATTCCCAGAAACAGACACGGCCGCCGGATTTTAGGTGGCAACGCTAACCCGGGTCCTCTTTCGAATAACGCTGAAGCGCTTCATGGGGTTTTTCATTTATCTCCGAACAGAGTACTTCCTCTCCTATGGTTTAAAATACTGCTGTCATGCATTTCACTTACCCATGAGCTCTGATCCCAAATACATTGCTGCTGATAGTGTTTTGAACAAGTTATCTGTCAGATCGACTAAGAATTAAAAATTGTATTTTACCTTCATTTCTTTCTTTTCCAACGCTCTTTTTTCTCTACGTGATTTTGATTTCTATGTCATGCTTCTTGTTTTTCAATTTTTTTTTTTTAAACATTTATTGCCAGGTCAGTCTACGGGCAATGAATTCTCTCAATTTTTGTTTGTCTAAAACAGTTTTTATATTTCCCTCACTTTTGAAGGATGCTTTTAATGGAAATAGAATTGTTATATTTCCCCCTTTTTCTGTATCTTATCTCGCTCTCTTCTTGGTTGCTTGGCTTCCAGAGAACTTCAATGCCATTGCGACCCTTGCTTCGGAGCACGTAAGAGCAATGCACTGTCTACCTCAGCGGAGCTACAAAACAGGACGTCAGCTGTCCCCAACACAGAGCAAGGACAGGCAGGTGACATAACAGATAGATTAATGTTTTCAAAAAGTTGTTTATTCACGAAGCATTGCACTGTTACACTAAAAACGTACATTTTCTGCACAAACACTAGAACTGTATGTTAATGAAAACATTTTAAGTAACTATATATGGCAAAAATGTTAAAAATAGGACTTGTATTGATAAACTAAAAGTGGCCTATCATTGCTACACTACTACATTGATAACAGAAAAACGGAAGTACTCCTTTAACATTCAAATAAATATAACACATCAAACAGGTTATTGGGGGGGTTAAGGTACTGAGCCCCACATGGCTGACCATGGTTCGAGTCTTGGACCCGCTGGCTTGGAAAACACACCAGACGTGCATGAGGCCCAGAATCCCCAGAGGAGAATGGAGGCGAGGGGAGGCAGTGTGGCCAGCCCCTTGGGGCACTTTCTCATGTTCCCGCTCTCTGTCTCGCTCTGGCAAATACATGTGCCCTATGGCAAAAATCTAAAAGAAAAAGGAATAAAAGTAAACAATATTTCTTTCAGGTTAAATACCTTAAAATCAAGAAAAAAATGAATTACTCATAAGATCAAATACAGTAGGCCATCCCAAGAGACGAGGAAACCCCTACTTGGCAGGACCTGAATCAGAACCAGCCACCTTGAGTATGTTCCGAATGCCAATGGTACTGAAAGCTCACTGTGCCGCCTCTAAGCTGTCCAACGACATGCATCCGAGTAGATGGCACTAAGGAGGTAAGGCGGGGAGGGAGCCGCAGCACGAGACGAGCGCTAGCGTGCTCATCACGGGGCAGACCAGTGCAGACGGAAGGCTACTCTAGTGGGCAGTGCAGCCTGAGGAGACACATCTCCTTCTAAAATGTCTTAGGTACAAAACCAATTCTCGGAGGAGAACGGCACCCATATTAGGGGAGCAGGGACCCCCCACGACCAGAGAGAGGTGTTCGGGGAGGCGGCCCGAAGTCTCACCGCCTGGCATCCCACCCGCGGTGACCTGACCTGTCTCGAGACTGGGGTGAGATGCCAGAAAGAGCTGGCAAGGGCGGCCACTCCAAGATCTGGTGGCCTCCACCCCGTGGCCTCCACCCCGGACCCGGCACAGCCACCGTGAGGCTCAGGGGCTGCCACTCGGGCATGCTGGCCCGGCTGCGCTTTTTTTCCCTAATGGAAGCCAAAGAGGCCTTCCTGGAGGTGGCCCCGACCTCCCCCCTTTATGGACAAGGCTTCAGGGATGCAGGAGCAACCCAGGAGGCCCTACTGCCTGCTCTGCCCCAGGTCCACAGCAGCCCGTCCCACCTCTGGGCTGAGGTGAGCGTGCCCCAGGGTGGGGCTCAGTGCACCATTTTCTCCCTGTACCACTAGGCCCATTTCAAGAGGGGGTGGAAGCCCATCCTGGTGGCCTCAGAACCCCAGGGTCATCGCTCACGGCCCACACACACATGGCAAGGGTCAATGTGGCCCCACCCTCAGGCCCTGGTGCTCTACGGCCGCCCCGGTCTCTCCATCTCTGGGGGACCTGTCCACTCACCGAGTCAGCAAGGCACCAGCGTTGAGGGCTGAACTTCGGGCTAAAAGACAATCGGGGTTGAAACTCAGCATGAGCCGCCAGCCGAGGGACCTGAGCCCCCACGGCGTAGCAACCAGGGTCAGCACTTGGACAAGCCTGCTGTTGGCTGCCCACTGTCAGGCTGGGCTCCCATGCCCCGGGCTCAGGGCCCCGGGCCCACACTGCACTTTCCCTGGAAGGTAATGGGAGGCCAGGCCCACCCCGTCCAGGGCTGTCCCCTAGGCTGGGCCTCAGCGTAATCCTATTGAGCGTGATTTTTAAGTCATCACCTCTCTTCAGGACAATGTGAGGTCTCATCATCGACCCGACCTGGGACACTCCCAGCAATGCACACCCACCGGGGCCCCACGGACTCACCACGTGGAGACAGGACACCCGCACTGGCCCGGATGTGGCGCTGAGACGCTCCTGACAGCCACGGCCCAGGGCAGGACCACGATGGCTCCCCCTCGAGGCGTCACCTGGGTGGGCGGGGGAGGACTGGGTCACAGCAGAGCTCACGGCCGACTGGGCTGCGGTGGCCCCTGTGAATGGAGGGGCAGACCCACAGCGGCCCGCTCGGGAACCCGGGCACTTCCTTCACAGAACTAAGCGCAGGGTGATGCGCAGCAAGGCATGGGACCCGTGGACCAGTGGCCGTGGTCCTCGGCCAGTGAGTCCTAGAAAGGACACGAAGAACAAGCAGCCGCGTCTCCCTGTCCAGGGTCCGCTCTGACCTCGGGAAGGAGGTGAGCCACGGATGGGCTCCCGTTCTGCACGTGCACCCACAGACCACCAGGTCGTTCACCAGCTTCTGCGCTCGCGGACACCGCCAGGTCACTGCCCCTCACGGGGAGCTCATCTTCTCCCTCCCGCGAACCCAAGTCCCTGCCATGGAGGACCCCAAGTTCAGACCCTGAAAGCCTGCTTGCAAACCAGATTCCCATCAGAACCGCCGTCCTTCTTCAAGAGAAGCCACCCAGGCCATTGGTCGCCAGCAGGGGGGGAGTCCAGTGAGCTGCTGGCCATCAGCCCTGCAGAGGAGGCAGGCCAGGACGGCATCGGCAGGCCCAGGGCCACTGGCCCACTGGCCCACCAGACCAGCAGACCTAGCCTATGCCAGCCTTCGGCGAGAGGCCTGCCACGCTGGGAGCTGCTGTTTGGAGCCCCGCAGGCCCCGCCACTGCCCATGTACAAATGCTGGCCTCGGATGGACGGAGAGTCCTCTGGGACCCCAGGAACATCCCTACACCTGCTGCTCCCCAGGCCCATGCTAGCCTGACTTACCCTCAGCCTGGGTTTTCTGTTGTCCTGGGACTTGCCGGCATCTGGCTTCTCCTAGTCTCCCTCCGGAGGAAAGGTGGAGACCTCGGTCAGAGTCCCCACGTTAGGCTTCCAGAGCACGGCATAGCCCTCCCTGCTGGAGGAGGTGGGCTCTCGGCTTCCGGGGCCTCGGCGGCCCCTGCTGTAGGCTCTCCTTTGGGCCCACAGCATTAGTCAGGCAACGTCGAGTGGAGGCCCCATGGAGCACCACCGCTAGTACACACGCCTGGGCTGCAGGCTGCAAGCACGCTGCAGGGCCCCTTGGGAGACGGTGCCTCCCCAGAGCACTGGCAACAGTCTTAAGACAGTTATCAGCTAGAGACAGGGCAGCTGGGCTCTTGTCAGCAAGTCTGGGTACGTTTTTCTTTCTTTTTTATTATTTTTCACTCTGACCAGAGAGAGACACGGAGAGAGAGAGAGAGGGAAAGCAAGCTCCACGTCCAGGCCTCCAACCATGTCAGCCATGTGAGAGTCCAGCACCTCAACCACCACGCCACCTGCTGGCCCCGAGGTCTGGGCAACTTCCAACAAGCATCTGAGTCGTGCTGTCCCGAGGGGCAGCGTGGTCGTCTCTACCCTGGGTGACGTAGCGGGCTCTGCATGGCCCTGTACTTCAGTGCCCGCGCTGCTGTTGCATGGCCTGACTCCATGCTCACGTCCCTTCTTCCACGTTGCTGGACCCAGCATGCGCCCAGTGACACTCTTACTCCGTGACAGCCCCTGCTCATCTGCGATGACTTCTGGATTTTTCTCTTAATGATCTTGACCTCCACCTCTATGTTTTATGTAGCCGGGACACCTCCGCGCCGCCTGCCAAGAGCTGGTGTCAGTGTAATACCTAAGTGCGTGTGCGGATGCCAGACCCGCGTGACTCCCGTGTAAGTGTGTGTGGGTACACTGGATCCCCCATGGCTCCCGTGTAAGCGCGTGTGGGTACGCTGGACCCCCGTGACTCCCATGTAAGCGCGTGTGGATACACCGGACCCCCGTGACTCCCGTGTAAGCGTGTGGATACACCGAACCCCCGTGACTCCCGTGTAAGCGTGTGGGTACACCGGACCCCCGTGACTCCCGTGTAAGCGTGTGGATGCCTCCCGGGTGTGTGTGTGGGTACACCGGACCCCCGTGACTCCCGTGTAAGTGTGTGTGGGTACGCCGTACCCCCGTGACTCCCGTGTGTGTGTGGGTACGCCGTACCCCCGTGACTCCTGTGTAAGCGTGTGTGGGTACACCTGACCCCCGTGACTCCCGTGTAAGCACGTGTGGATACACAGGACCCCCATGACTCCCATGTAAGTGCGTGTGGATACACCGGACCCCTGTGACTCCCGTGTAAGCGCGTGTGGATACACCAGACCCCCGTGACTCCCGTGTGTGTGTGTGGGTACACTGGACCCCCGTGACTCCCATGTAAGCGCGTGTGGATATACCGGACCCCCGTGACTCCCGTGTAAGCGTGTGGGTACACCGGACCCCCGTGACTCCCGTGTAAGCGCGTGTGGATACACCGGACCCCCGTGACTCCCGTGTGTGTGTGTGGGTACACTGGACCCCCGTGACTCCCATGTAAGCGCGTGTGGATATACCGGACCCCCGTGACTCCCGTGTAAGCGTGTGGGTACACCGGACCCCCGTGACTCCCGTGTAAGCGCGTGTGG